TTCTTTTTATTTTAAGTGTGTGGGGTGACCGGTGGCTGCCATATTGGACGGTATAGATAGTTACTGGGTTGTGGATAGATCTAGGGGGAAAGTCATGGGCCCTGGGGACAGGGTCTTGGGCTATTTACCTGGCAGTTCAAGAGTATTTTCCTATTTGAACAACAAACAATAACTGCATTGGTGCTGACTACCGCCCTGCAGTGTGCTGTGAAGCAGGTCAATGGAAAAATACGTTAGGAAATGGCTAAGCTTAAAGAAACCATGGGCCAGGTTTCTTTGCATCTTCTCAAGGATCTGGCCGGCTGATGCACAGAATCCCAATGCAGGGGTAGATTTGAACAAAACGGTGTTACCGAACACCATACTTTGGGAACTGCTGACATAGATGTACCCCCATCGGCTAAGACTCAAGTCCCAGCGATGTCTGTGGGGAAGATCTAGATCGGAGCTCTCCCACATCTCTTGCCCCAGGATGGCCAGGGAAGCTGGCTGGCACCACCAACAGTGTCTCCAGTGAGGTCCTAGCGGTAACTGTTGTTCATGGAAATAAGACCTCCGTGGACCTGTTTTCCATATTCTCTGTCTAGAAACTACCTGGACCATGACGCCGTCCCTGGGCCCAGCCCTCTGGAAGGGTGATCTTAATCATTTAAGATCACTCTTAGGACCTGCCAAGGCTTCTGTGGGGTATTCCAAGGGTTTCAGTCTAAGCACTGATGGTGGAAGCTCTTGGTGAAGGGAGCCAGGGGATCACTGTATGATCTGTTTGTTTGGAGCTGCGATGACATCACTGTCATCAAGGACTGCTTTCTAGTGGGGTAAACCCGCAAAGGAGGTGACACCCACTAAGTCCACTTTTCTCCACTTTTCTGTTGCTAACAATGGCATAGCACACTGAGTGATTTATAAAGAACAGCGTTTTATTTAGCTTATGGTTTTAGAGTTCAGAGTCAAGGTCAAAGGCCATACCTGGGGAAGGTCTTCTTTTTGGTAGGGACTCTACAGAGTCCCATGGCAGTGCAGGGCATCACATGACAAGAGAGTGTGTGTACTTATGTCTCTTCTGCTCTCTCCCCCTCTTATTAAGCTACCAGGATTCAATCATGAAGGTCCTACCCTGATGACCTTGTCTAATCCTAATCACCTCCCAAAGCGCCCATCTCTCAAACGCATAGTTGGATGAAGTCTTCACTCTTTGAATATTTTCGCAATACACCACATTTCAATACATGTATTTGGCAGGGACACTTCCAAATCCCAGCAGATGAGCTCAGCCACCCCAGCTAGAACGCCCACGTTGGGCCAAGCCGATGGATGTTTGAAGGCATTTCTGGTTAGTCACAGGGATTTCCTTGTCTTAATCCAAAGGTGTCACTTAAAGAGGACTTGTTTATTTATTCAGTTTACTTGGGAGTAGGGAGAAAGCTAGAGGCTGATAAGCGAAGGTTTTCAAAAAGCTTGTGGAAGCTGCTTCAGTGCCCTGGCACCCTCTGGCCTGCAGCGTGCCTGGTCTGACCCTCAGTGGCATAACATGGACTGCTCAGGGCACTCTTCTGGCAGAGCAGAGGCCACCTGGATAGCAGGGTCCACCGTCTGGCAGAGGAAAAATTCTGGATGTGAAACAAGGGCAGGGGCTATAAGATGTGGGCAGGCACTGGGGGGGACGGTGGAAATTACAGAAGATCCACCGAGGCTGAAAGCCGGCCCTGTTCCACTATGTTCATTGCTTCTGTATTTATGCTGCACATTTGGGGCGAGAACGCATATTTGTAGATTTCAGCTACATCCTCCTGTCATCTGAAGAAGGAAAAAACCAAACGCGTCTTGAACCAAAAGTGTAGTGATTTTTCTGTTCATGAGAGAAATTTTCTGTAACCTTGCTATTTTACAGAGAAATGAACAAGAACTGATTTTGAGGAATCAGTGTCTCCCCCCCACCCCACTTTGGCCTATGGCTATTAAACTTTTTTATGAATTAAAAAGTGTTCTTGGAAAATGCATATTATGAAAAAGCTATGGGTTTCAAATTTTTGTCACATCAAGATAAACTCAGGCTTAATTCCATCCTTCCACAAACTTTTTGAAGTCCCCACCTGTAGAAAGCCATTCCTTGTTGACGTGTCTGGTTTTGACCTTTCAGTGCACTGTGTGCAGGGCGCTGTGGCTACCATGACTCCAAAGACAGAGCTTTATCAGATCTCTCTGGAAGTCTCCGGTGGGGCCAGCCAAGGACAGAACTGGAATCCCGGGAAAAGCGCTGGGCCTGGTTGTGGTGGAGCCTTTTCTCTTGGAGTGATGTCTCCTGCTTGGTAGGGTCATGCCCAGGCTGTCATTCTCCAGGACCATCTGATCTTTCACCCTGTTTGCACAGATCCAGGGGTTGCTCTTTTGGATCTGAGGAGGAGGGTGTGTACGGATTTCCTCCAGGCAGCTCTGTTGGAACACCCAGGGCTAACACAGTGAACCTGCAGGAAGCTTTTGCCTCTTTGTGTAATGATATTTCTTAATCTGGGCACGACTAACCCTTCTGAGGTTGTGTGAAAAGTATCAGAACTCGGCACCAGCCTTTCCATACTTCAGCCTGCTGTCACCGAGGC